GCTTGTACTGTTGAGATGTGCAGTGTTACAACTCCTTGTATGTATGCACCATTTTAAAAATTATGATTTGGTATTTTTAATTTTAAAATACAGTTGAACATATGAATTTTTTTTGTGAGAGAGAGACTTACTCTGTCTCCTGGGGTATAGTGCAGTGGTGTCATCATAGCTCCCGGCAACCTCAAACTCGTGGGCTCAAGTGATCCTCCTGCCTCAGCCTCCCAAGTAGCTGGGACTACAGGCTCATGCCTTCATTCCCAGTTAATTTTTTCTATTTTTGATAGAGATGGGGTCTTGGTCTTGCTCAGGCTGGCCTTGAATTCCTGACCTCGTAGAGTGTTAGGATTACTTGCGTGAGCCACCCTGCCTGGCCGAAATATGTTTTTTAATTGTGAAAAAAATTTTTTTTGAGATCTAGAGAAAAAAAGAGAATAGTACAACAAACAGCCAGTTGCCAGCACTAACAAATGCCAAGCATTCTGTTGTGCCAAACTTCTGAATGTTCTTTTCCTTTTTCTCTTAAAAGAGCTAAAATGTTCATAAGTATGGGAAGTTTCCTTTGTACCGTTCCCCAGTTTCATTCTGCTCCCCTCTTTTGATGTAAGCGTTATCAAGCATTTGGTGTATAGCTTTCCTGTTTCTATATCACTGATATATGTTACCCATCAGTACTGTAAATTGTCATGTTTTAAAACATGTGATTATTATATTGTATTACTGTTCTCCAGCTTGCTTCTTTACTCCACACAACGTGTGTTTAGATCTAGTCTTGCTGAGATATCTATATATATCTGAAGTGTATTCATTTAAACTGTTATGTAGTATTCCACTTTATAACTAAAAGTAAATGCTATTCTTGGAAATCAGTCATTATTTTAATGTGGATATAAAACCCATTGTTTAATTTAGTTTTCCAAAGACTGTCTTGTGAATGTTAAGAGGATGTTCATTTGGAATTTTTTTCAAAGGATATCTTTACCGGGATGGATTTCGAGGTTAATTGGATTAACTTGTTTACTTACTCATATTTTAGGTACCCAGAAGCCAGAGCCATACAGCGGAAGATAATATTCCATTCAGGCCCTACAAACAGTGGAAAGACTTATCATGCAATCCAGAAATACTTGTCAGCAAAATCCGGAGTGTACTGTGGCCCTTTAAAATTACTGGCACATGAGATCTTCGAAAAGAGTAATGCTGCTGTCAGTATATTACCAGATATTTGTTCATTTTTTCTTGTTAATTTTCTTTTTGGGGGATGGAGTGAAGGTGGGGTTGGGGAAAAGACATGTAGTTATTTACTGTTAACAAGAAATTACGATATTTCATTGTGTCTAAGAAGTTATCAAGTGTAAGATGTACCATTACTTTATGTACAATTAAGAAAGAGAGAGATACTGCCAACTGAATTCTGACATGCCATCAAGTCTTAAGATGCATCCTGATTTCAGAGATAATAAAATGTGAAAAAATGTACACAATAGAATGAATGAAATACAATATTTCAGAGGATTTCACGTATATAGAGAAATGTGGAGACTAACATACAAATAACCTTGAACCCACTACCCAACTCCATCAGATCCTAACATTTTGTCATACTTGCTTCATTTACTTTTTAAGAAATAA